TTTTTTCGTTTTAAGAACTACGTGACGTATCGAGAATTTTTACTTTATCTCGAAGAGTATCAAAAAACAAAACTTTCCGAGTTGAAGAAGCGAAAAAATTACCAGAAATCTATCAATTCCCCTCACAACGATTACACATTTACGATATCTAAAGGATCGAACAGCTTTGTCCAGAATTCAGGTATACGTTTATAATTTCACTAAGTCGAGGAATCGAATAACGAAAATAAATCGTTGTAATCGAAGGGGGAAATTCTTTAGGCGATACTACTGTTATTCACGGGACAACGATGCACTCTAGACATTCGAAACAAATACCATCGAATTATTTACAAATGGAGGTGCCAGAGAGCATGATGATACCGCCGAAATTCACGAACGAATATGTAAACAGCGTAGAAAAAAGCAAAGGGGTGAGTAACCCTGGGGCTAATCGAAGATCGACGCAGCAACCTCAAGATGGACCGATTCATTGAACGATGCAAAATCGTGATCACACATCTTTTTATACAATTTTAATATTATTTCTTTTCTTTTCTTTTTTTTTTATCAATCGAGTATCGATGATTCTTCGTGTCGTGATTTTGCGTAACAAAACTGTTGCGTCATATCTAGATATTGTGTGCGTATGTGTGTCAAATATTTAGTTTATACATATATATATATATATATTTATCGTGTATCGTACATTTATTTATCATTTATTCAATTTTTATATAAGAAAATATACGTGTATGCGTGAGATTTGATAACACGTGTGTACGATATTTTTTCGTGTCCCCGCGATTTTGAGGCGAAAAACGATCGAGGAAAAGCGTGCTCTTGGATGGAAAGCGGTTGAACGGTGAGTCGTTTTGCAATCGAATCCCGAGACGATGAGGAGAGATCGGATTTGCCCCATTTCAAAATTTGCTCTGCTTGTTTTCAGGGATTGTTACACGGTTATCGTCGTAAGAAATCTCGAGGTAAGCTTACGTGCTTGTAAGTGGTAAATGATAAATTTCACCAATGTGAAGTCACGTAGCGTGAAAGTCACGGAGCTGTAGTCAAAGGTCAGAGTTTATGTTGCTCGAAAATCCGTGCTTTAATTCTGAAACCCTTTCGGGGACCCATTATGCACCGCGCTGCTCGTGGAAACAGCACTTACAGCGTATAAGCTCTTACCTTGAGATTACATAGATCCCGTAACAATTTAACCCCCCGTTAATTGCCCCGTCAAAATGATGATCGCATTTCCATTAATTTAATCGCGTCGATCCCCTTATATTCGAACCATTTTTATTTCTTTTCATTCTCCGTTTAATTAAAAGTTACGTGTTTATTCAATTAGAGGCAGCTAATTGAACCGATCTATAAATTATACATGAGTCGCGTACTAGTCCGGTTAAAACATCCCTGACCTACATCTGACTCGGCGAACTCGCTTCAGTTCGTAACAATGAAAAATTAGCGCCATCTTCGCTATTAATTCACCACGTAACAAACATACACCGATACTCTGGTCAATTTTCGACGAGATTGGAGAATAAAATAGATCCCAAAAAATTACGTGTTCGACGAATAAATCGTTCTTATAAATCGTTTTAAAAACCTATATTTCTACTAATCGAAATTTTCTCTCCCGAAATTCTATTCCTTCCGCGAAATCACTGTGTTAAATCTTTATCAAATTTAAATTTCGTATTGGAATTTGACAGAACGACGAGAGGAGCGTCGCCTTCGACGCGAGATTCACCGGTGGAGGAGAATCACTCTCTCAGAAGCTGTACAGATCGGCCACAGTTGAGAAATATACGCAGGAACAGCGCGGCGTGAATTCACCGGTAACACGAGAGATCTCCCTTCTCGTAAGGGAGAGAAATTTTTTCCAGACATATTTCCTGTCTTTTTCCTCCTTCCAGAACGTCGATAAATTGGATTACGAGAGCCGGCGCGAGAAGAACGCGGCGGATGTTTGCCGGTGCCAGCAGCAGCGCGAGTCGAATTTCATATTTTCCGCGAAGAAGCAGCACCCGACGAGACGTAAGTTCTCGATGGAAGCGGAAGAGCGGCAAACGGACTCCGGCAAATCCGAGGTGGAGGCCGCAACCACGATACAGGCAGTTTATAGGGGTTACAAGACACGGAGGAAGATCGATGAAGTTGGTGGATATATATTTATATATCTTACAACGTTCCTCTGTTGATCTTTTCATTTGGATAATTATTCGAAGAAATGCAAAATAGATGTTCTTGATATTATTGTCCATCTTTTTTTTTTCTAACGAAAGTTTCGAACGAAAATTTTTCATATTCGAAAACGTGAGGCGAAAAATCACTCGAATTACGTTGAAGCTTGAAATGTTCACCACAGGAATTTTTGAACGGTTGTAATGACACATTTTTATTCGACATTGGATTCGTTTTGTTTCTTCTAAACGGCTATAGATAAGAAAATCAACGTCAGAGGAGAAACGAAATGTCAAGAAGGTAGCGGAACTTTTGTCTATTCCGATGGACGATACGCTACGCAATCCCTCGATGGAGCCGATCCGAATTTCAAGCAGTCCGGTGAATCAAATGAGGGGCGAGAAGGACGAGATACTGCACTCGTTGAGCCCGAGAAATAAAAACAGAGGACAGTCGATCCTTCAAAATCAAAGTAAACGTTGCGTCGAGGATCAAGTGAATCAAGTGAGGAAAATGTGGAAATTTTTCTTTGAGATTTCTTTTTTTCTTTTTTTTTCCTTCGAGAAGAATCTTACTTTATTATGGAAATCTCAAATTGTAGTACGAAATGCGTGATTCCGTTTATACGATCGAGGAACAACGAAAACAACAAATTCCTCAAAATTTAACGACTCAACGAGAGACATTAAAGTCTATCAAGATGATAAAATCACCGATGTTTTTCTCGAAATTCGACGAAAGAACCAGTTCCTTGTCGAACACGGATACTGACGATCTTTCCTCTCCGCGAATAGAAATGAAATCGACGGCAACGAATATCCAGGAGAATGTTGCTGCCGAGAAAAACAACGAAATGAATTATCCTGATGGCGATAGTATTCAACGGCTCAAACCCACCGTCAGAAATGTTCAGATACGAGCTACGACGACGAACTATAAACGACCTCTGTAAATATTATTATAAATTTTTCGCAAAATATTACAATCTACAATTAATCAATTTTTAAACTTAACTTAATTTCCAAAATATAATAGTTATATTCATAACATTTTTAACCTGTATTGTAATTAATTGCAGCCCGCAAAAAATCAGCGACAGCATGATAGCTACCAACGATGCCGGTTACTTCTTCGACAACTCTTTGTTCTTTCCTGACAGAGAGTCGGTCCTCGTGTTCGGTGGCGTCGATCCTCACGAGGAATATGGCCGACCCGGGAATACAGGCAAGGACATATACAGGTTTAAACCTGACCAGAACATTTGGGAATTCGTGGGGGAAATTCCACGAGCGAGGCATCATCATTCGGTCGCTTACTTAAGAGGCCGCATTTATTTAGTAGGTGAGTCGAATGGTGACGAAACAGCGGAGTTTGCAATGTTGTAAAAAAAAAAAAAAAGAAAAGAAAAAAAAGCAGAACAACAAGGATTCTCGTTCCATTTACGTAGGTAACATTTAAACTAAAGAAGATTCGTACCGTATATAATCTTCTTTACGGCTTTGTTTTCGAAACCGCGAAAAGAGATTTGTCGTTCATCCTGTTGTACAATATTTTTTGTCAAGAAAGATTTAAAGATGTTGAAAACGTAAAGAGAAAAGATCAAAAAAGAAGAGAGAAACATTTTTCACCAGGTGGAGCCGATCCCTTAGAAGACAAACTTCATAGGAAAAGCTTCGCGGTTGGAAGCGTTTGGAGTTACGATCCAACTACCAGGACTTGGTTCAATGAACCTGGTATGCTGACAGCTAGGAAGGATTTCGGATTGGTGGTCAGCCATGGGAAAATGTACGCGATAGGAGGGCAAGGAAGGAACGGGATGTGAGTTGTTACACAGACGGGGAGAGCATAATTATGTTGCTCCTTCTACTCGTTTTATCTCGCTGCTTATTTCTATGCTACGTGACGATAATTAACGACTAATCCAAGCCTTCATAATTGTCACCGGTGTCACGGTTTAAACCGAACGGTTCAATTTACATTTACGTAAGAACGAAGAAGAAGTCGGACAAGTCGTTTCACATCCTCCTATCTTAATACTCAACGATAAATAAAAGAAAAAAAGGAGGAAAAAAAAAGAAAAAGAAAATGAAACTTGTTTACTCTCTATTGCAGAGCTTTGAAAACGGTAGAGGTTTTCGATCCATCGGACTCCACGTGGAGAGAAGTGCAATCGATGCAGATCGCCAGGGTGGGACCTGCCACGGTGAAATATCGAGATCTTATCTGGGTCGCTGGCGGAATGACAAAATCGAAGAAGGAGCTATTCTCAAAGGAAGTGGAGTGCTACGATCCGATCAAAAATTTGTTAGCTCGATTCCATCCTTTAAAGTTCCCCTCATGCGTTCCCTATTTCCCATTACCTGGATTAAACGCTCGATATATCGAGTATACAACGGTAAATGCCGTCGGTAAAAGCTGTTATCGATGCGCTCTTTTCAGATGGCTGAAAGCGATACCTTTGAGGTCACCGAGGTGCTTTGCCTCCTTCTACGTGATATCCGACTGTCTTTACGTGATCGGCGGAGCATCGACCACGGAAAACGCCACTCAGAGTATCGACAGCATCGATGTGTGGGATGGAAACGATTACGTTTGGAGAGAGCACACGAATATGTCGATCGCGAGACACGGACATTCCACTGGCTCTATAGGTTAGTTTTACATTACAGACATGATATATCGTGAACAATTTTTCTTCTAACGGTTTTATATATATAGCAATATATAATAATGTAAAATATAAATATATACATTTACGTAATAATAATATTAAATA